GGGGGGGGAGAAGCTGCTCTGATTTCCTGTAGGATGCGGGGGGTTTTGTCTCTCTTTTCCTTTTCTCCAGCTGTAAATGCGGATGTGCAGCGTGCTTACGGTGGTGGGGTAACTGGGATGCAAAGAGGCTTTAAGGTGGACCTAGGGGGAGTGAAGTGGATGGCACCCGTGTGAATCACTGAGCAGCGAGTGTTGAGAGCCTGTGCACACGCACACACACGTGTGTGATGCGGGGAGCTGCAGGCGTGTGTGTGTGTGTGCACACGCATACGTGGGGGTGTTTACACAAACACACTCTATCGCTATGGCTGTGACTACAGAGGGTTCGTAATTTAAGTATAATTATAGACATCAGCGAAAGATCATAGAAAAGCCTTTGCCATTTGCTCTGGGATTTATTGCCCTCGAATGCAAAGCAGCATCAGAATGGTCTTGCTAAAAGTTTAACTTTTCAAAAAAGAAATGCGACCCAGCAAACATAAACTCGGGAGGAGGGGAGTCATTTGCAAAACGCTGGAAGTAAACGTCTTAATATGGGTTTATTAAAAATAAGTGCCACCCCACTACAACCCTCCCCCCCCAACACCACTGGACAGAATAGTTCAAATATGTGAAGTTCACTTGTAACAGAAAATCCGCGATGCCATGGAAGTGCGCCCACGGCCCCAGAAACGTGCTCTCAATATCCAATACTTACAGGCTAATGAGCTGGGGGAGGGGGGCGAGGAGGAATGTGCCACACATGCACTGGATCCTGAGCACAGAGGGCATATTCCCTGCATCGCTCCCTGACAATGGAGCAGAGGCTCTGGGATGGCTTTAGGAGAGTGGTAAAACAGCTCTGCTCCTTTTTCCTTTCGTATTTTTCTTTTTTTTTTCTTTTTTTTTGGTGCCTGCTTCCTAAGGATTCCCCAGTAACTTTCACCAATGAACCCACAAGCTGGGCTCTCGGCCACCATTCCCAGGGTGCCAACGTGCCAGGTCTAAAATAACCTGGGACGGTTTCATGTTACCCATTGCCCTGCAGGAACCGTGTCTCTCCAGCAGTCTGGGCTTTATCTAAGAACCAAAAAAAAAATCCTGGGGAAAGAAACTTTCCCTTCCTTCCTCCCCACCCGGCCCCC